ATGTCGGATTGGGTGTCCTACTACCGGAGCGAGGGGCCGCAGGAGGAAGAGGAGGAGGAGGAGCAGGACGAGGAGAAGGCTGAGGCGGTCGGTAAGGGCTCACTTTTCCTCGCAGGGGGCAGCCCGGGGCCCGCTCCCCTCGGGGGTAAGTAAGCGGGCGGAGCGGGCCGCTCCTAAGGCTGTTCCCGCCTTGTTCCGCAGGGGATTACAAGTTCTTAGGTCGAGACAGCCTCATTTTCTTAGTGGATGCGTCCAAGGGCATGTTTGAGCCCGACGGGGACGGTGCGACTCCCTTTGACATGACCATCCAGGTAAGGCTGCACGGGGACCGGGTGGTTTCCCTGCCTGGTCTGTTGGTGTGTAAGGGCCCTGGGACACTCGAGCGACTCGAGGTTGAAGGATGGCTGTGGGATTGGAAGATCTGTTGCCTGGCGGGCCGTGTCCAGAGTTGAGCAAGGGGAATGTGTATAGAATGAGCGATGGATCAGCGTTCAGCATGGATCTTGCTTGTAGAAAGGGAATGCTAATGAAAAAATACCCAAGGCTGTGTACTGAAAGAGATCTCTTGGAAAAACAAGAACCCCAAACTCTTTCTGCTGGAGAAATGTAGCTTAAAGCATTTGTTGTGGTTCCTCTGTTTGCTGGAGTCTACTTGTATAAAAGCCTAATTGCCAAAGACAAAACTTTTGCACCCTTACCACAGCTGATTTTCTTCGTGCTTTGACCCGTGTGCATCTTTTTCCTTTTTTTTCCCAGTGCATCTGGAGTGTGTACACCAACAAAATCATTAGTAGTGACAGGGACCTGTTGGGTGTGGTGTTTTATGGTACGGAAGAGAACAAGAACTCGGCAGATTTCAAGCACGTCTATGTTCTTCAGGAGCTGGACAATCCAGGTAGAGTCAGTTAAGTGATACTAAGGTCACATAGAGAGATGGAGTAAGGAAATCCATGTAGCAGCATTGTCAGTAACTGGTCTCTCTGAAAACAGAGCTGTCAGATTAACAAAAAGGTTGCTGTTACTAAGATATGTTGGGGAGGGGTAGGTTTAGAAATTTATTGAAAGCATGGAAACTTAGTAGGAGCTTAACTTTTTCTGTTATAGTTGGATCAGATCCTTTTCCTATGTATTTTCTTCTATTTTAATGTGGTGGTTCACATGCTGTGTGCTAAACCTAAGAGGATCTTAACAGAACTCTTGAATACCCATCATGTGTTTGCCACACTTCAGAAAAGCATGTGTACATGCTAAGGCCTCACTGATGATGAAGAGCATCACAGAATGACTGAGGTTGGGTGTGATTTCTGGAGGTTGTCTTGTCCAACCTTCCTGCTCAAGCAGGGTCAGCTAGAACAGGTTGTCCAATATGTTAACCTGTTTGGTGTATTCCACCTCATGTTTTCAGAATAAGTTTTGCTATTCTTGAATTTAGCTCTTCCTTTTCTTAGAATTTCGTAGAATTAATCATAGAATACCAGCTTGGAAGTGATCTCAAGGATCAGCTGATCCAGCCTTCCTAGGCAAGCATGGACTAGATGTCCCAGCATCTTGTCCAGCCAAATCTTAAAAGTCTCCATTGTTGGGGAATCCACCACCTCCCCAGAAGATAATTCCAGTGCCTGAGTGTTCTCACTGTGGCAAATTTTTCTCTTGTGTCCAGTCAATATCTCCCCAGGAGAAACTTGTGCCCACTAGCGCTTGTCTTTTCCATGTGACTCCTTGTAAAAAGAGAGTCTCCATCTTCTTTGTGGCCACCCTTTATTATGAATTATTTATTAATTATCTAGCATCTGCTTGAGGATGAGTGCCAGTTGCTGAATTGGAAAAGATAAGAGGAGGAGTGCAAATAATGCATGCTAGTGGTTGCAGATTCTCTGACAGCAGAGTCTTGTGGGGGGATTTTGCCTAGTATCTTTTATTAGCAGCCTTTATCTCTGAGGAGGTTTGATTTAATTTTCTTAACTAGGAGGTGCAGGTTTAACAACACATGGGGTTCTCCTGAAAGAACTGTGCCTTGTCCTAGTTTCAGAATTAATTGCGACAGGGACCTGACAAGACTGCTTTAGCTTCTTCTCCTTTTTCTGGCAGCAGGCACCTTAGGCTTCTTGCACATCCTTTTTCCTCTTCTTTTCCCTGCTTTGCCCTGCCTTAGAGACAGTAGCTTGGCTGTGCTGATGAAGGCAGTGCAGGTGAAAGGTGGTTGTTGTTAAAAAGGAAGAGAATTGTGTATTTGCTGCCCTTGGAGAGCAGCATGCTCTGGAGAAGGAAAATAATACTGTAGTTAGTTATTATGTAGTACATAATTACGAACACTTATGCTATTAAATGAGGTTTCAAAAGTGCTATAGAATTTGAGTGAAGGACAAAGGAAGAAGCTCTGCAGAATGCAATAGCTGAAAACAAAAAAAGCTTGTGTCCCTATGTAGAGTTATGGGACAAAATGGAGTGTGCTGTTACACAGATGGGAAAAGGATTCACAGTTGGGCTGTAGCAATCCACAGGGCCCTGAATGTTGCTGTGCTCCACGTGGTGATCTATGGGCTGCATCTGACTTCTAGGTTGATTCTGACATGAGGGGCAGGAGAGCAGGAGGAATTCTCCACCTTCCAATGTGCTGTCAAGATGCAGGATGTATTTCAGGCTCCTCTCCTTTCCCTGGTGGTACAGCGGTCTGCTGTGCCTCCCTCTGCAGTGGGTGCAGTTGTTGCCTTTCTTGCTGAATACTTGTCCTTTGAGTGTAGGGGGTTTGTAATACTCTGATCCCTGCCTGTTTCCCTCCCCTGGTAGATAGAGCCCCTCATTGTTGCCAGGGCACTTGTGTCCTTTTGGCCTAGCAGGTGCTTTCAGGTGGTAACTGGCTTGCAGTATTGCAAGCATTAGGCTATGCTGAACAATTTTGTCAGAGGGGTGTTGGAAAGGCACTGCCACAAAGGTGCGAGAGGACGTTACTCAAATGTCCACTGCGAGGGCCCCTTCCTGCATATTTAGAAGAGTTTGTGGTACTTCTTTCAGTATTTCTAATGCATGTGAATGCTGTTATCCCCCTTAGGTGCAAAGCGAGTCCTAGAGCTGGACAAATACAGGGGAGACAAAGGACAAGTCCTTTTCCGTGACACCTTTGGCCACAGCACTGACTATTCACTGGGTGAAGCACTCTGGGCCTGCTCTAATCTCTTCAGTGATGTCCGAGTCAGACTGAGCCACAAAAGGATTATGCTCTTCACCAATGAGGATGACCCTCATGCCAATGACAGTGTTAAAGCCAAGATGGCCAGGACCAGAGCTGGTGATCTGAGAGACACAGGTCATTATTTTCCCCATTAATTTCGGGCAGAATAAAAGTGAGGTATCCTTGCAGCAGATGTTAATGGCATTGCAAGTTTGTGGTGGAAGAAGAACATAAAATCTTCAGAATCAAGGAAGTTTTCTAAAACTTTCTAAATTAGAAATTTGGTATTTAAGCTAAATTAGAAAATCTGCTATCCAATCTGGTATCCAGCAACTAATGTTTGTTTTCTAGGATCTCTTTTTCTACTCCAATAGCATAAATCAGGACTTGAGAGGACCGTGGAAAACAAACTACTTCATTTCATTGTTCCACCATTTTCCAGGAAGAGAATAATAACCCTAAGTTAACACAAAAGGAAAATTACTTTAATGGCTCCATTTTGAATTATCTGAAGAACAGCAACCTGAGCTCGGTGAATAGAGAGCAAATGCTTCTTTTATTCAACTGTGTAGCTCTGGTAACCACTGTTCTTGGAGTTCAGCAGATGTGCTGGATTTAGAAGCTGTGAGGCTTCCTTAAACCATTAGCCCTTAAAACTGGGACCAGGGAATTTCTGAACTCATTACTTGCATCTATGCCTGAGGGAGCTGCTTCATACATGATGTTGTCCAGATTCTTAATTAGGGAGGAAACATTTTCTGTGTGTGCTATATTGTTTAGACTGAAGTTGAAGAATGTCTTTTGCCTCTTTCCTTGAAAAATTTCACATCTGGTGCAGATGACAATTTGGAGCTTGTTCTTGCTTAAATTCTTTGTGTAAATAGAGATATCTGAGAATGCTGAGAAATAATACTGATGTAAGAAAAAAACTGTTTCTGTGATCCTCCTCCTCCTACCTATTACTTTGTTTCTAGGTATCATCCTGGACTTGATGCACTTGAAGAAGCCTGGAGGGTTCGATATCTCTTTGTTCTACAGGGATATAGTGAACATAGCAGAGGATGAGGACCTTGGGATCCAACCTGAGCAGTCAGAGAAACTGGAACATCTCATGAAGAAAGTACGAGCAAAGGAGACAAAGAAACGTACTTTAGCCAGGTTTGTGCCTAGTTATTCTAGATAATATTCTAGACATTCTAGTTATTCTAGAAATGTCCTAGATATTTCATTCAGTGGAGGCACCTGATGCCTTTTTAGACTGCATCTCACCTCCCTCCTCTGGAACAATTGGAATGTAAGGACATCAGTGCTTGCATTCCTCAATCTTAATTCCTTAGGCCAAGATTGGTGTTTCTTCCCTTGATTCCAAGGGAATCCACCATCCTTGGTGGATGAGAAGAGTGGAGGTTGAAGCTTGGCTTCCTTTTTTCCTCTGTGTGACATCTCCTGTATTGAGCTTGAGGCATGATCATTTTTTAAAAAATGACATCATTGTCAAGTATAATACCAAAAAATCTGCAACATGTGAAATAGTTTGTAGTGAAATCTGATTGAAATGAGGCTACTCTTACTGGTGTTAACTTAGAAAAACATGCCTCAATGTGAATGGTAAGTATTTTGGTCCATTATGAAATAGTTCTGTGCGGCCAGTCTGTCTAGGCACTTGGTGTGGATTTACATAGCTTTGATATTTCTGATCTCCTACTGAAAGATTAACGATACTTACATAGAGATTAGAGGGATCTTGACAAAGCAGATACAAAGTATTTTTGGAACCACGATCTCCGTGACAGTTGTGTTTTTAAAGGAGTGAGTTCATAGCAGAATGATGTGAAAGCACAGTAAGGGAGTGAACTTCCCTTAACAACCTAGTGGGTTTTTTTAAATATATATTAAAAAATCCCAACCTGAGCTGTTGTCACTGGCATGTGATTTTTGGGGGAGGAGAAGGAGCAGAGCAGAGCAAATAAGTTATCTGAGGAGATTACTTTCTTTTGCAAGTGATCTTTTAGAAGCCTCAAGTCTGTATCTGCTTTTTTTTCCAGGTTAAATCTGTATCTGAACAAAGATCTGTCGCTTTCTGTCGGTGTTTACAACCTTCTTCACAAAGCTTATAAGCCCTACCCAGTGAAGCTTTATCGGGAAACTAATGAACTGGTTAAAATAAAAACAAGGATGTTTAATGCAAAAACCGGCAGTTTGCTCCTGCCTAGTGACACAAAAAGGGCTCAGGTAACAAACTGATAATGTGCCTGCTTTTTCCTGTGATGGGGGGGAAGAAATGCTGATTATTTTTCTGCTTTTGGTTATGTTTCACTTTCAAGATCAGATGCAGAAATATTTACATCTGTATGCCCCTGGGGACAGCCTGGTCACTTTGTAAGCTGTGTATGAAAACAGGCAAAGAAAGTTGGAGCTGTTCAGCCTGGAGAAGAGAAGGCTACGTGGAGACCTTATAGCAGCCTTCCAGTATCTGAAGGGGGCCTACAAGGATGCTGGAGAGGGACTTTTCATTAGGGACTGTAGTGATAGGGCAAGCGGTGATGGCTTTAAACAGGGGAAGTTCAGGTTAGATATAAGGAAGAAGTTCTTCACAGTGATGGTGGTGAGGCACTGGAATGGGTTGCCCAAGGAAGTTGTGAATGCTCCATCCTTGGCGGTGTTCAAGGCCAAGTGGGACAGAGCCGTGGGCGACATGGTCTAATGTGAGGTGTCCCTGCCCATGGCAAGGGGTTGAAACTAGGTGATCTTAAGGTCCCTTCCAACCCTAACTCTTCTCTAATTCTATGCAGAGTAAGAGTGGGTTGTTTCTCTAGCGTGGCTGTCAAGAGAAAGCATAGCCACCAGTGGAAATGTGCTTGGGGACGCAGGTCATTTCTTTCTGTAAAGCAGAACCAGGTTGTCAGAGCTCGACCTTATGTGGCCTCATGCTGTCACTGCTCATTTTATTTTTGGATTCACTAGGAACAGATTTTGTCCATTTTATTGAACAGACAAGTGTGAATCATAGGGGGGAGGGGGAGTGTTGGAGTTTTTTTCCAAACAAGAACAAAAAAGGGTGTATTACCTTTGGTTTTTTTGGTATTTTATTCTTTGCTTTGTCTTTCTGCTTGATAGTTTGGCTGATGTGGATTGAATTTCCATTATTTCAAAGCAGGATATGCAGTTGCTAGGTATATTGTCACAAGTGCACAAATGTGTTCTTTTATGCCAGAGGCTCTTAAAGATAGTTGTCTGAAGATTAAATATTAAGCTTGTTTATACTGGACATTAATTTCTTCAAATAAAGTACAGAAGATGAACAGAAAGCGGTGCATTAAGCTGTGATGTCTAACTTCAGCAGCTGGACTACAATATGTTTCTGTGACCTATCAAAAGCATTGTTCCTCGGTCACTGTTTCTGCCAGGAGTAGATAGCTGATGTGCATCTGCTGAAGCAAGTGTAGAATCAGACAGGACCTCTGAAAATGTCTGGTCCAACCCAGCCTAGAGCAAGACTCACAAAACCAGATCAGGTCACTCAGGGTTTGTTTGGGACAGCTCTGAAGAACACCAGGGAATGGACGTGATGGCCTCTCTGTACCAGGGCTTAACCATTGTCTTAGAAAAGTGCGCTTTGCTAATGTCCAAGTGGAATTTCCCTTGGGATGATGGTCACAGACTGAGGCTTGCCACTTCAGTGTGCATTGATGATGAGACTTCACTCTGACTTGTCTAAAATCCTTTTTTCAGTAGTGGAAGACAGCAATTGCATCCTCTTCCTGCTCCCTCCCCCTGCAAGTTTTTTATGCTGCCAGCACTACTGTCTGCTCTTCCCTGGTTTAGACATATGGAAACCGCCAGATTGTGCTGGAGAAAGAGGAAACAGAAGAATTGAGACGCTTTGGTTCTGCAGGCTTGTATCTGATTGGCTTCAAACCACTGTCAATGCTAAAACAGCACCACCATATCAGGCCCTCCCAGTTCATCTACCCTGAGGAGTCCCTAATAAGTGGTAAGTGAAGACGGCAAGAGAAGATTCACCACCTTGCATTAGGGTAACCAGCTGATTCATAGTGGTTTTGAGCCATTGGGGATCATTGAATGTAAAGTCTTTGTCTAACATAAAAACTTGCTAATGTTAAAAAGTACAGAATTTACAGTTACTGACCCTCTCAGCTGCTGGTTAGTTCTTGTTTTCTTCAATAGCAGAAGAGTTGATTTGACTTGATGTTTTGTCCATCATGACAAGCAGCTAATCAAACTATGCAGATGTGGTCCCAAAATACTTGGTTTTGTCATTTGTGAAAGATCCTAGTACCTGAGTAGAAGGCAAAGGTGGTTAAACACCCCTCCACAACCAAATAAAAATCAAACCCCAAACCAGTGAAGGTAATTGCTGGTTTTAAGTCCATATCAGCTCAAAGTGAAAACAATACTTGAGAGTATGGTTAATTACAAGCACTTTACGGGCTTGTGAAGAGAGGGGAGGATGCTTAGGACAGCTTTTTCTCCCCTTTTTATGAGTGCATCCCAAACTTCAGAAGTAAAGAAAAAGTTCTAGTTCCTCAATCTACTGAGGGATAGAGAAGGCTGAGGTATGACCCGATACTTTGCAGTGGCTGACTAAAAATCTTTACACGAGCTGCTCCAGCTTGTCGGTTTCCTGAATCAAACACCTCATTTACATGTCAGTCTTTTCCTGACCACCATATCTGGTAAAATACAAGGCAAATGTGTGTGTCAGGAGAGGAATACTGCAGTCTGAATTCTTAGTGTTACTTCTGCAAAGGTTCTATGATGTGCTGCTACTATGATGTCCCACCAGACCAGAAAGAAGCTTTGTAGGTACCTGTTTACAACTTTAAACTGTTTTGATAGCTCAGATGCTCATGATTTCATTTCTTTCACCATAATTCTCACTGCTCTAATCACACTAATGTTGTAATTTTCAAGGGCTCCCCCTTCCAAAAGTTGCTTTTTACCTCTCCAGTATTTCAAGCATTTCAAAGAAGTCACAGGTTTTGAAACTGCAATTTCTGGGGTTGCATTCCTGAACAAAGGAGCAAAGCTGTCAGTCTGACCAATACAGTCTTTACTTTGCAGGAAGTACAACGCTATTTAATGCCTTGTTAATGAAATGCCTGGAGAGGGAAATGATGATACTGTGCAGATATACCGCCCGGCAGAACACCCCTCCTCGCTTTGTGGCCCTGGTTCCCCAGGAGGAAGAAGTGGATGAGCAGAAAGTGCAGATAGCTCCTCCAGGTATGGGAAAAGATGCTGCCTTTCCCTGCATGGTTCAGCTGAGTGGGGAATGATTAGGGAGCAAAGGCAGACTCTTGCTCTTTAGCATTTTCTTACTTCTTTAAGTGGAAAATCCTGGGAGGGTATAAAGTAGGGAAATTACACTGCTTGTGTACAAAGTAAAGCATTTCAGAAATAACATGTGGGCACTAACTTAATTTCCACACAAGCCTTTATCAAGCTTATATCCAGTGAGAGGTGGGGAAGGTGGACAAGTTGATCTCCTCCATAAAAAGCAAGTCACAAGTATCCCGCTCTTAGCTATGTGTTTAGTAGGAATCTCTTTCAATAAGCCATTAGTGATGTTGATTTTATATATAAAAAATACATTATTGAGATTGGGATTGAATGTCATGCTGTAGGTACTAGGAAGTGTTATGAATCGTTGTGTACAACAACACAGCTAGCTAGTTTGGAGTCATCAGACCTACATAGCTAATAAGCATCTTGGTCTTTCCCATAAATGATCATTTTGAGGCTGTGGTTCTGTATAACTGTTCTCTTGCTCCCTCTCTTCTGTATAGGCTTCCACATCATCTTCCTGCCATACGCAGATGACAAGCGGAAGGTTGATTTTACAGAAAAGGTGCCAGCCAGTCGAGAGCAGGTGGACAAAATGAAGGAAATAGTTCAAAAACTCCGTTTCAAATACAGGTACGTGGAGATAAATAGCGTGCAGGGGGTGGCACGGGGAAGAAAGCACAATGCTGTTGTTTGCTCTGTTGTACACATTGTTCAGCTGTGGTGTCCACAAGATGAGATTTTGATGTATTTTGATGCAAACTGCTTCCCTTTGCAGTAGCTTTGTCCAAACTTTATTCTTAATCATTCTGGATACCCAGGCACCACATGCTTTATGTAGCAGGTTCTGGAGTTCTTTACAGAATTGCTCTTGTTCTCTGGGCTCTTGTCATTTGTTGCAGAGGTATCACATTTTATTGCGGTTCTGCCAATCTACTGCAGATCAGACTGGGATTGTTTAAATTAGAGCACTTTAGAGGGAATGGTTAGGCCTTTTTCATTATAGCAAGGATACATTTTATGAAATGCTTTTATAGGAGATCTTCTACATATGTAGAAAGCGATATAACTGTTATTAAAGTGGTATGCCACTGTCTCCATTTCTCTCAGAGCTTTGGGTTGGTGCATGACAGGATAGTGATTCAGCAGGTAAATTGAAAAAAAGAAAAGCAGATCTTCTGGTCAGATGGATTGTTGGGGGAGAAAGAGGTTGGTTTTATTTTGAAAGAAGTTGGGGGTAGATCTTGCACATCTTGTCTGTCTTCTTGGCAACATTCATTGATGTTTTGGGGGATTCTTGGCAGGATTGACAGCTTTGAGAACCCAGTTTTGCAGCAGCACTTCAGGAATCTGGAGGCTTTGGCGCTGGATATGCTCGAACCAGAACAAGCTGAGGATCTTACAAGTGAGAATTATTGGTGGGTGCAAAGGGAGGTGGGGCAGAGGGCTCTTGACTTAGTTCAGAGTCAGAGATGTGCTACTAAAACCCCAAAATTCTTTTAAAAATATTTCAGTCATGTGCAGTTCCAAGATGTAGAATTCTGGATGTGTCCATTCTGAAATACTGAAACCTTACTTTCTAAATGCTGTCCTTTTTTACATAAAGGAAAAATTGTTCACTTTACCCTCCAAAATTAAAATTGAATCACCTTTTTTTTATGGTGACAAGAGTTTTTTCATAAATCCCTTTCTTCAAGAATCTAATTAATATTTCAGTCTGATAAATGAGCAGAATTACTTAGAGAATTATCCTGCTAGGAGGCAGTGATGCCACCTTGTGGCTGTGGGAGTTCCTAGGTAAGAGTATCTTGTCAAGGGATAGAAACCTACTCCTGAAGGAGAAATTCCTTTTTTTAAAATGATGATGTACTCCAGGAACAGTGTTAGAGTAACTATTTGTCTCTTCTGAAGGGACACCTAAATTATCTTGGTCCCTGTGCTAGATATCATACAGGCTGTTTTGCCTCAAACTACTTGCAACCTTAGATAGTAACCTGTTGTATTCTGAATATTTAAGATTAGACCTGGGTAACAGTGCAAGCAAGTGGGAGATCTTTTATGTCAATTCCAGTATGCCAGTGTCAGTTTTGTTCTACATATACATTCCTTGTTCGGGGATATGTGCAAGTCCATTACATAACATACAATACAGACTTTTGATATTATCAAGAGCTGTAAATTTCTCGTTTGTGGGTCTTTGCATTTTGCATGCTTGCAAGATGTTTGCATACGAGTTATTACAGAAGGACAATTGTGCTGGTGATGGAATCCTAGAAGAACGGGCTGGTTTGTGTTGGAGGGACCTTAAAATTCATGTAGTTCCAACCCCCTGCCACGGGCAGGGACACCTTCCACTCGAGCAGGTTGCTCAAGGCCCCATCCAGCCTGGCCTTGAACACTGCCAGGGATGGAGTGTGATGGCCTTGTTTAGAATTTCCTGTCATCACTATGCTTTTTGAGAGGGCAAACCTTTTTTGTCAGTGCCAAAGGTTGAAGAGATGAATCGCAGGTTGGGCAACCTGGTGGAGGAATTTAAACAGCTGGTTTATCCCCCTGACTACAATCCCAATGGGAAGGCTGTAAAGCAAAACCAAGGTAAGTGATGGGGTGCAGACACACAACATGGTGTTTGTATTCTGTTTAAAAGCCTAAAGTTTTCAGTTCATCTCATAGTTTAAAGAAGCCACTTGTGCAACAGCTCTCCTACACATCTCCACCATGAAGTGGATTTATATCCAGTGGTGATTCCTAGGGAGCAGAGGAGGTTGTGGTATCCAGTTGAGGAACTGCTGGAATGAGAAATTGCATAGTGAAGTATTGGAAGCAATGTGGGTAAATGATTGCAAATTTTTTTTAATTTTTTTTAATTTTGGGGTTTTTTTTATGAGAGAGTAGTAAAATTGTTCGTGCTTTCAGTTTGTGTTGGTAAGAAAGCAGACTTTTATGCATGGGCTGTTTAGTGAGTCCAAGATGAGCATCCTTAGGGCTACATGGCTAACGCTGAAGTACTTGTGTAGTTTGGGAGTCAATGAAACTCTGCATAAAGTGTCAGTTAGCTGAGCTCCCTGTGGAATCACTGCATTCTGCTGTCTCAGTGAGAATCCCTTAAAAGTTTCACGTTGGGGTCATCTTTCCATCAGAACACAAAGTTTCATACTTGAGTTTGAGATGACTCCTATCAGTGAAATAATACATGACTTATGTAGTGGGTGACACCTACTTCAAACAAACGTGGAAACTAGGTCTGTGAGCTGTTACCATGTGCTAACTGTCATTAACAGTGTTATGTATAAGAAACATTGATGTCTTTCTATTGAGAAACTTTAAAATCTTGGTGGTCTAAAATTTCTCTTTCTAGCTTCTGATGGTCCAGCGAAGAAGAGGCTCAAGGTAGAAATCTCAAAAGATGAGCTGCAGAGTCATGTACAGAAGGGCACTCTGGGCAAGCTTACTGTACCTGTTCTGAAGGATGCATGCAGGCTTTATGGGCTGAAGGGTGGAGGGAAGAAGCAGGAGCTCATGGATGCATTAACTGAATACTTTAAGGAGCACTGAGCAGGAGTGGAAGGCCCTGGTTGACTTCAATCTGCTTAAAATTGTGGTTGTCTTATGTGGATGCTTATGTGTCTGTTTTATCTTGCTGTGGAGAAGGCAACTAAATGTTGCTGAATCAGGCAGTGGAGAAATTTTTTACTCTTACTCGTGAAAACATCTCTGCAAAGTTGGATTCTGTTCACAGTAGCCAAAGGCAGAATTAAAGTCCCTGCTAACTCAGGTCACCCACTGCAAGTGAACACGGTTGTGCCTTCCTTGTTTCTTAATAAAAGTTATTTTGGACTTCTTACTTTGCAACACTGGCTATACCATCTTTGCATCATAGAGACAGCAAAACTCACTTTGGTGTGAGTAAGAAAAGAGAGTGATCTGTGTTAACGGCCCCATATGAATTCAAGCAGCAGGTCACGCTGTGTGCTAACAGACAGTTTGAACATGGTGTATTACTTTCCTGCTCTCCAAAACAGCCAGTCAGTATCAGTACTTGTAATCAGATTGGGTTCTTTTCCACCAGTGGTGTTACAAAGATTACCAGCAGATCATAAAGGAGAAAATCATCATGGGAAGCGGTTGCGAGTCCTTCAGGCAGCAAGCCAGCACTTCTCAAAGCTGCACAGCCAGGTTTTCCATTTTTAAGTTGTAATAGAAAAAGCTGGT